AGGCAGGACAGAAGTGAATCACGGCACACACTGAACACTCCTGAAGGGCCTGTGGGAATGACGTGTGTGATGGAGGCCATTTGTTCACAGTTCCTGTTTCTCTGAGCGCACAGCTGTGTTCAGATGCTGTAACTAAAGCTCGCCTGCAGCTCGTATGTGTGTGACACACTCACATGCAACACTTCACTTTTTCTGTGAATGCAACATAGGGCTTCAAGACTGCAATTAAAAAGACTGCAGATGCGATAAAAAAATGACTCGAATGAAAACTACTTCACGTTCTTTATTAAAGATCCATGCTGCAAGTCCTACTAAAGTGTAGCCGTTGCTCATGAATATTAATTACTCTACTTGATGTTACGTAACTTGTTTCCTGACTGGCATACGTTGTGCACTAATCAGCTGGTGAATTAAACAATCTGGCAAAATCATGGCTCATGAATATTTCATAAGTTAATTGACTGGATGCTCCCGGAAGGTTACCAGACAACATCTGCACAACCTAAGTAATATTTCATGCATCATACCTTCATTTCACAGGATGCAGGATGCGTTCTTGCATTCAACAGAATGAGACGTTATTAAAAGCTGAACTATTTTTTAACTTCATCTATTCAGAACTTTAATTCTACAGCAGTACAGCAAAGTAGTAATATTTTACACGTGTTGTGAATGAGTTTGCAGTATGAATTGAATGCGATGAGATAAAAAGACTATGTACCGAAAAAATGGCTTTCATATTACTCTATTAAAAAAACACACAGCACAACCAGTGTAGTCCGATTTACAAAACAATTACTCTTGTGATTTATGCACATAAATATACACATGAGTATGATTACTTTGAGTACTGAGTATGAGTACTATTATGTAGCACAAAATAATGGCTGGAAAACACGTCAGTCAGTCCAGTCAGTCATTTTGAAAAAAGCAAACATAGCACAAACAGTATAGTCTGATTCACAACAAATGACTCATGAACCATTTCTTTTAATAAATCACTCAAGATAACTAAACATTTTAACATTTAAACAAGTTTAACAAATTAAGATGCATTATGCCGTTTTAGGCAGTACATATGTGCATATATGAGTACTTGAATACTATATGAGTACTATTATGTAGCACTAAATAAAGGCTAGAAAACTAATTAGTACAAAAAAAATCAAACATACAGCACGATCAGTGAAGTCTGATTCACAAGGATTGACTCATATGAACCAATTCTTTTAATGAATCATTCAAGATGACTCAACATGACAAGTTCTAAAAAATAAAAAAAAAATCTATGCATTTGCAGATGTAGTATCAAGGCAGTATGTCCATAAATGAGTATATGAGTACTGAGTATGAGTACTCTTTTGTAGCATAAAATAATTGCTAGAAAACAAGTCTTTCTGTTGAAACAACAAACATACAGTGCAACCAGTGAAGTCTGATTCCCAACAAATGACTCTTATGAACCAATTATTTTAATAAATCGTTCAAGATGACTCAACATGCCATGTGTAACAAATTTAGATGTATAAGGGAGTTTTAGGCGGTTCATTTGTTCATAAAAGCGCTATATAAATAAAGGTGACTTGACTTGACTTGACTCATTTGTAAGTCGCTTTGGACAAAAGCGTCTACTAAATGTAAATAACAAAACTACATTGAAATTTTAAAACAAGCATCTAAACTTTTCTAAAGACAGTAAGTTCCCCTCAGACATGCATTCATATAAACTCCTACACCTAATTGAATCGCGATTTGTTTAGCATCTCAACCGATATGAATCGTCACATATTTGAATCAATTTTCAACCGGCTCGTGGTTAATCGTTACATCCCTATAAATAATGCGAGTATTGAGTACGAGTACTATTATGTAGCACAAATGGCTAGAAAACGTGTCTCTTTTATTGAAAAATTAAACAAGTCTGATTCACAACAATTGACTTAGGAACCAATTATTTTAATGAATCATTCAAGATGACACAACATGCCAAGTTTAACAAATGCAACAGGCAGTACATATGTGCATAAATAATAGTATTAGTATAATATTACTAATATTATAACTTTGACTTTCCACATTCACTCTGCTTGACAAAAATTAGGTGATTCATTGTAATCTTGACAGACAGATTATTATATTTCATCAGAAAAACTGTGATATTTGCAGATTTTTTCTTTATTTGCTGGATTTATTGAGCCGTTTTGTCTATCGTCCTTCATGACTCCCGTGCATGCTGTTTGTTTTGGGATGCAAGCAGAATGCTGAACGCAAGCGGAATGTTGGAATGCATGTTGCCAAGGTAACAGCGTGATATTTACCATGTCGTCTAGGATGGAGAGGAGAGGAAGGACGGGAGGAGGGCAGGTGAAGAGTGGGCCGTAATGTCAGGGGAGTCAAGCAAACACTGTAAGCGGGGAGATGGGTATTTTTGCATCGCCATGGCCTCACACTGACCCTGGAGGTCAAGGAGATGGCGGAGCACAGGACTTAACACACCCACACACACCGGCTATGTCAGGCACAGTAAATGTCAGTGGTGAAGACAGGTCTGGCTTTTCTAGGGTGACGAAGTTAGCAGCCGAGGTCAATTGGAATGGGAAAGAATGTTTTCTTGTTGGTTTTGGCACACCATAGGCTAGGGATAGTGAAAACTGACTACCATAGTATTTTTTTCCATACTATGGAAGTAAATAGCTACCGTGATCTGTTTGTTAACTAACATTCTTCAAAATATCTTTTGTGTTCAACAGATGAAAAAATCCATACAGGTTTGGAACAAGTGAAGGGTGAGTAAATGACATTAAAATTTTTGGGTGGACTATCCCTTTAAGACGGATTTTTTGGGAGGTTCTTGTATTTCATAAGAGCATATACACTGTAAAAATTATTTATCGAATTTTAAAATAAAAATGATTATTGGATTGGATGTTTCACAAGAAAATACTATTTCAGACTTTCTTTAAAATTCCACATTTAATTCAACGTTACTTGCCATTTCTTAGTAATTATTTGTGGAATTTACTAGCAATATCTGAGTGAAAATTGTTTTAAAGCCTTTTTTGTTTGCTGTAGATGTCAGAGAGTGTGTAGAGGAAAAAACAAGCCATTACTTTTACTAATTTAGGCTTCAGTCAACAGATAAACTAGCAGATGAACTGTGGAAGCTCAGCAGTTTGTTAACATCAATCATTAATTTCACAGCAGTGAAGAAAGGCAACGTGTCCTAGTAAAGTTAATTTCATTAAATAATTAATTGGCTCTCTTTTCCATGCATTCTGTCTTCAAAACAACACTGGGCGATAACAACAACATTCATATTGTCTGATTTGGCCAAACAAAATTGCACATTAATATTTCATCCTGCTCTTCAAACCAGCAAAGATCCATTGGAAAGTTTTCAAAAGCAGATCTCATGAAACAACAATGCAGCTCTCTGGAAAAACGACTGGTCAGATACGAGTTCAAACCTGGTTAACGGAGCGCCACGGCCCCTCAGGCCACAATTAGACCAACACAATACTGTTGAGGGTGAAGGGTCGGGCTGATGCTCAAATTCACTTTGGGTTTTTAGAAATTCTGCTAAAACAAAAACTTGTGCCACTGAAATGCAATATTTCATACTTACAATCCTTTCAGTTTATGTTGGAAATTCTGAGGAAATGGATGGACATAAAATTACATGCCACGCTCTCGAAAACCATGTTATTTTTCCCCCTTCTGCACTGAGAGTTTGGCGAAAGTTGTTGAGACATCGTCTTTGCTGGAGACAGTGGTTTTGGCAGATGCGTTTGAGTTCCTGGGGCATTTCACTCTAAAACCAGCAAACCTTCAAACATCATGCGTGCTGAACTATTATTACATTTTCCTACTGTGCTTACAACTTCCACAACACAGTATGCTAAAGCAATAATCCACAAGCGGCTGTGCAGGACAGTTATTTTACCACATGGGAATACAAGGGAAAACTTAGGCATGGAGGCATTCATTATTGCTTTTTGATGTCAAATTGGCATATTAATATATAATGTGCAGTCACATGTGCACGTTTCTCTGCATTTTATAACAACTTGAGGTTTATGCAAATCCAACACCAAATCACATTTAGAACTTAGAATAAATGCAAAAAATATATCAACGAAATTAATGATAAGAGTATTCAACAAATGTATAATATATATAAAATGTATTTTTATTATTATTATCATTAATAATAATAATCATCATCATCACTGCCTTATTATTATTATTAATATTACTTATATAATAGTATTGTTATTATTATTACTTATAGTATTATTATTGTTATTATTACTATCTCAAATAAATTAAAATGTTAAGCCAACAACAACAATAATAATAATGCAAGTTTAGACAAACTCAATAATGATACAATAAAACTAAAATGGTAAAAACATAATAATAATAATAAGAAGAAGAAGAATACTTTACATTTTTTTTTTATTATTTTAAAATGTATTAATAATTTAACAAATGATTATTCTTATTATTAAACTCCATGAGAAATAAAAAAAAACCAATAAAACTAACTCTAATGTTCTTACTCTATAAGAAAACAAAAACGAAACTATAAAACTAAGAGTAAAAACAACAACAATAATAATAATAATAATAATAATATTAAATAATTGTATAATTTATTAATGATAATTTAATACATTATTATAATTATGATGATGATGATGATCATTATTATTATTATTATTATTAAACTCGGTAAGAAATAAAAAAACAATAAACCTAACCCTAATATTCTTACTATATAAGAAAACAATAACTAAACAATAAAACTAAAAGAGTAAAAACAACAACAACAATAATAATAAAAATAATAAGTAGAAGTAGTAGTAGCAGTAGTATATAATTGGCAAGAATATTGGCAATTTCTAAATAACCTGAAACATGGCTCGTCCAATCAGAATCGAGTGCAGGGTCTGGTTTTTTTTACTCTATGTAGTTGCAAAGATGTTAAATGCCTGTACCTCTGCATCGCTCGATGCACGCAGCAATCCTGTTCTCTTTCTATTAAGCGCACTGGCTCATTTTCCTGCAGTGAACCTCGGCCTCCCGCTGCTCTGCTGTGGAGCCTGTGGTGAGCAGCAGGTCTGTCCGTGGGTGGATGAGCGGCGTCTCCTTCCATCCGCTCGCTCCTCTACGCCTACGCCAGCACTCATCTCTCTGGGTCAAAACGCTGTGATTCAGGCTCTGTAGTCGGGTCACATTCGGTGTGCTTTGCAGGATTCTCAGAATATCTGTCCGCTAATGTGCACGTCGAATGTATAATTCAACACAAGCCTGTGCAACACAAAGTCTCTGTTTTGACCGCTGGGAACAGTTTCTTTGAGCGAGCAGATTCCCAGATTACATAAGGTGGCTGCAGACAGGTTGACAGGAATATAACCTGGCATCTTTCTATCCCTTCAATCATTCATGAGTTTTAAAGGCGTGCACGTAGCCTCGGCGTTCCCCCGCGACGCAGGGACTTAATCACAAACGCACTCGCTAGCTTTACGGATGAGCCTCGTGCACAACATGTGGATTTTCTTACGCAGTTAAAGATTTCAGGTCAGTCCTTAATCCACAGATGACAAACTCTATCCCTCGACTCAAAAAACAGTGCGGCTGTAATTAGGGCTGTGTATCACCAGCAAAGTCACGATATGATACGTATCCACTGCTGCACACGTGCCACAATATCGATACAGGGCCAGCTGTATCGATACTCGTATCGTCAAATCTCTGTGACGATACATCGTCGTATCGATATTTTGAACACAGCACTAGCTGTAATGCAGCGGAGAGAAAATCTCCAGCACAGTAAGGTTTGGCTACACACCATAATGTTGGCTTTGGTACTATACCAGATACTAAATCGATACCATCGGCAATTAGTAAACAGCCTAAGAAAAGTGGAGAAGTTTTATCATCATGACTTCATGTATATAGAAAGGGGAGACAACCGACTAAAAAAAGTCTAGAGAGTCACTGAATCATAAAATTAATGAAGAGCCAAATCTATAGATAGATAGATGTATCTTTTATTACAAATAATGTACACCATTTCATTACAAATCAGACATAACAAAAATGACATGAATGACTCACTGAATTGCTCTGAATGACTCACTAACAAAATCATTGACTCCAAATATAAAAAAGAGCCAATTACTTCTTTTTTTTTATTTTAATGTTGAAAATAACAAAATTGAATGATAAAGGTTATTTAGAAGTGGTTTTGTTTCCATTTGATGATGATGACAATGATGATGAGGATGATGAAACTAGTGATCCAGACTATATTTTTTCCATACATATTGCTATTTTGTAATTAATATATTATATATAGCGGTCAAAGATCGGCGACGGCCCCAGATTATTGTTGTTTCACTTTAACAGCACGTTAAACATCACACTCTTACTTGATCTGGACAAACTGTGCATCAGTAGAAAAGACTCTAGCTTCGATATTTGACCACTGTTTTGATAAAACATTGTTGCAGTGACAGTAATTTATGTCAGGAGTGCAAAATAATAAATCTGTATGTGTCATTTTTAGAATAGAAATTCACCACGCATTCATATTCAGTCAGGTCAGCAGCGGTTTATTTGTGTTCACATAGCTTCACTGAACAGCGTCAATAAAGGCTTATAGTCCAACGATGCATATACATGGAGATGTATAGATATATTTACTCATGTTTTCTTCACATTTCTTCAGACAGAATGTAGATCAGGGGTCATAGTCACACAGCCTGTTAGGAGCTATAAAGTGTGAGAATTAATCTGTGTTAGTCTACAGATGTGTGCAGCCATTCACGCGACCGTTGCGCATACGAGACGATCTGCACAGATCAATACCAGAACGATACACGGTCACCACCAGTTAAACCGTAACACCGGTATGTGCCCGCGAGCATGAGCTCTTGAAGCTCAGCACTCTTCTGAAAAGGGAGGCGGGAGCACCAGCTCATTTTCATTTAAAGGGGACAAACACAAAAAACAGCACATTTTGGCTCATACCCTAAAAGTGGCAATTTCAACAAGCTATAAAAAATTATCTGTGGGGTATTTTGAGATAAAACTTCACATACACACTCTGGGGACATCAGAGAACAATTTAAAATATTGTATCAATGCATCGTATGGCACCTTTAAGGCTGACTGGTGAACCTTCTTGGCTGATTCATTAAAAAGAATCTGTTCATGTGAGTCATTTGTTGTTCACGAATCAGATATCGTGACTCGCATGGTGTTTGATGTTGCATGCAGGACACATGTATGTCTTTCACTGTCATAAATGGTAACTAGTTTTTAAATTATTGTCGCAAATTTGTATTTTGTCACATTTGCAACCATTTTAATTAAATACTGAAGTCCTGCAGTGCCGACAAATAATTCATGATACAACAGTGGCAGAATGTTAATCAAATTTTATCAAGGCCTGTCATATTTTTAATTTGTCAAAGAGTTGATTAATCAATCACTGCCATCGACGGAGACCTGCAACAAGGAGAATGTAAAAGTAGCTCACAAACAGCCCATATCTCAGAGATACAGATTCAAAATTGCTCCCGGAGCAAAATAATGATCGGTTAGTGCAGGAAATGTAATACATTACCATTTTAATAAATAAAATCACTACACTGGGGCGTTAGGACCCACACAGACCACAGGGTGAGCACCCCCTGCTGGCCTCACTAACACCTCTTCCATTTTGTCAACTTTTCCTTCGGACCACATTCACACTTCATAATTAAAACCTGACAACAGTTCCTCAAGTTCAGGGTGTCAATCTGCGTCTGTTCAATCGCTCACTAATGGACTTCATTTGCATGTTGTGAGCAGACGAATATTTAAATAATGAGCTAGCACTGCCCAAACATGTCATTTCCTCTCAGACGTATGTAAGTAACAGATTGCAATCACATATATTAGTCTGGGAGCACAAAAGGTTTCACAAATGGTTTCAGCATGAGAGGCCACATCCATTATGATCATTGTGAGTCCACATTTCAATACTAAAAAGCGCAATAACCATTTAGTTTGGTAATAGTCATGTAAAGCCAGAACAGAAATTCACTAACGTTTGCTGTTAAAACACAAACTTTGGTACCATCTTGAGACATATTTTCCATAATCCACCCATCCTAAGCATGCATACTAAAACACACGTTAGGAAAAAGCCTATCTCTTTCTTCTACTAAACACTCAAACACACACAGCTAAGCTCTACTAAACGACTGGTGTTAATGATCTGACTAAACACCAGCTGTTTTCAAGCAGCACTTAATGTTCATCTTCATATGAGAGTCTGTTTTTTAGAATAAATCACTGCAATAATCGTAGATGTTCCCAGCAAAAAACAATATCTTAAAGGCAAGAAAGCAACAAGAATCATCCATTAACATCATAGCACTAGTTTTATGTAGATTTATGTACATTTCAATGTCACCCTACAACTAGAAAGATAAATACAGAAATGAAAAACAGCGCCACATTGCAAATCATAATGTTTCTCGCAATATCTTTAACTGCATTATAAAGGACGACAAGATGACTGAAAACCTGCAGTTAAACACTGAATAATCACTGAATAAACAACCATCAAGTCAAACAGAGAATTACAAAACAGTCCAAGCTCTACAAGTGAACAATATAAGTGACCAGCGATGATATTTGTATAAGCAAACAATTATTTTAAAACTTACTGCATAATATAATAAATACAGTTTTTAAATATTATTTATACTTATATATACTGTATATAAATGTGTGTGTAAAGATATGTATATGTATGTATTATTATAATTACAAAATGAAAAATATCCTGATCTGTTACAATATTGTATTGTATACTATATTTTTTTAGATAAATAATACATATATGCAACATTTTATATAGTACATATAAAATGATAAATATGCAACACAGTGCATAAATTTAGCAAAATGCTCCTCTTTATAGTTATTTTTCTAGCTGACTAATGAGCTCATGGACGCCGAATGGTTATTCTGAAGTAAATGATTGTTACATGGCATTGTTTACAAGCTTTACATGTTTTCCGCAGTTTGAAACACTGAATGAGCGATTACATGAGACATTTCAGTAAGTTGAACTGTAGGCCATCTTATAATATACCTTTTGATGTTCATTCATGTTTATTTCATACTATAGTAGTAAAGAGAAATATATGATGGGTTCGCGTGCCGCTTGAACTGAGGCGCTAAAAACGATCGCTCATGCCACATTAAAGAGCACCGAAACGGTATTTATTGTTTGAATTTTGTTATGAATTGGGTCGAAATTTAGGTCGAAATATGGGTCGATACTTTGTTCATTAAAAGATAACAGATCACAAAGCTTATAGTGATTATTGGACGGCAAGTGCGCTACAAATATTATGAAGTTCAATCATTTACAGAACACAGCATATCTTGATAACAAGAAGCCATTTCAGTATTGATTATAAACGAGAATTGTTAACGATATTGCTAATATCCACACAGCTGACAGCTTTACCTGTCATAGTTTGTTCAAGTTGTGCACGAAATAGACACTGCTTTTCTGCACTTTTTACTTCGTATGTCTCCGTCATTTTCGCTGTCTCTAATGCTGCCACAACTGGATATGCATTTAGCAGGTGTGCCGTCAAAGCTGTGTTTTTTCCACAAAAACTTTAATGTGCATTGTCTCAGTTTATTACGTCAACATAACAAAAAATGTGATCGCAAAACAAGCAGGAAAAAAGGCATTATGTGCAAATTTTTAAGTCATAACAAGTAAAGTTATATAGTCGCCTGTGGCGATCTCAGCAAAAACTTCACTTGCAAATTAATATTTTTGGTCGCAAATTGCGACTGTTTTAGGCGCAGTCTGGAGCCCTGTATGTGTGTGTCCGTTCGCTGACACAGAGGATCCAGGACAGAAAAGGCATGTGTTAGATTGTATATTGGCAGGTTTTCCTCTATTACAGCAGCAGTAGCTTATGAGCACTGACTCCCAGCGATGAAAAGACCTCGCTTGCAGGGTCGGGAGAGGCTAGGCATGGTGAAAGAATGAGGCCGCTCAGTGTGATGGAGAGTGAGAGCTCATCTGTGCAGCATAATTGTGTGCTGCTGACTGCCATGTGCTGCGCTCCGAGTGTGACATTGTGCTGCGCGGCACAAAAAAAAAAAACGGCCCATTGTGTGCTGCTACACAAGGCTGTCATACACACGCAACAGCCTTGTCGAGATCTGCCACTGTATCAAAATGTAGTATTATGCAAGTTATTCGCCGCCTGCTAGCAGGGTCATACACCATTAACATGACACGTCCATTAAGACAAAACCCTACAGCGAGACTCTGTACGCCATCCATCCTTCTGAAACGGCCTC